GCCGCTCACCTGGGGTCGCGGCCGCGTGCCGGCTGCCGGGCTCGCCGTGGCCTCGCTCTCTCAGGCCTGGAGAAAGCTCTTGGGCAAATAGTGCCCCAGTGAAAGGCCCGCGGGGTAGAACGTGCCAAGTTAACGCACCCCGAATACCCGCAGTCTCAGATCTGCTCTTGGCACCTGCAGCCTGAAGATACTCGGAGAACCCAAAAGAGAACGGCTGGGACTGCCCGCCGGGGAGAGGGGAAATGGGGAGGGGACTCGGGAAAGCCTGCAGCAGAGGCTTTGCTGGGTTTCCACCGCGTGCAGCCCCAGGCGGAGGGGAACACCGAGGGGGCGCACCCACCCATTCCCATCTTTGTCCCTTCTCCTACAGATCTGCACCTGCCTCCATCCAGCTGCGGCAATGACTATCTTACCAACCACAACCACACCTTCTCCGGGAGGTAGGTGATGCCCTTTCCTAAGCTCAATGGTAGAGACTTGTTCGACATCCTCCGGCCCCCAGCCGAGTGCTGCAATTCCCGGATTCCCAGATGGGAAGATCCTACTCGCCCCCTGCAGCCCCGCTGCAGCCCTGGGAGGAGGCAGAGGCCGCTGGGTGTGCCCTGGTGCAGTTTGGATCTCAAGTGCCATGTGCCTGGGACAGTCAGTCTCTGGCGCTGCCACTTAAGATCTGTGACCTCGGCTGAGCTATCTAACCGCTAAGTGCAGTTTGCCACAGTTGCTATCTGAGGAGCTTACTGGTGAGGATCAAATGAGGGAACCCCAGGTAGAAATAGCAATGCCTGGCATCTGGCAAGCCCCCAGCAATACCGGTCATGTGTATACTGCATGTATTTGTGGTGATGCTGTGCTCACTAGAAGCCTACCTTCTCCTGGGTGGGAATTCAGCGGCTTTTCCGTCCCTGTGATATACACTCTAGTGTCAGAAACCCATGTTCTGGATTATGCTCATCTTCCCACACTGAAACAGTATCCACTAAAGGATAACTCCATTCCCTTCTCCGTGGCCTCTGGCAGCCACCATCGCACTTTCTATCTGTGTAAGTTTTACTACCTCATGAGTGGAATCATACAGTATTGTGCTTATTTCACTTAGAGCAACATCTGTGAGCTCCTCCATCAACCTCATCCCTTAAAAGAGAATTTCCTTCCTTTTTAAGATAGGGAAAACTTACCCATTCACCCACCGAAGATAGGGAAAACTTACCTATTCACCCACCGAGAGACACAAGTTGTTTTTGCATGTTGCTGTGAGCCTGACGTACAAATATCTCTGAGTTCCGACTTCCAGTCCTTTTGGATATATGCAACTTTCACATCCTCTCCCACACCTGTTATTTTCTGGGTGTTTCTTTCTTCCTTTTATTTATTTATTTTTGATATTAGTTAAATTGTTGGGTGTGTATTAGTATCTTGCTGTACCTTTTATTTGCATTTCCCTAATGATTAATGACCTTATTGTTTAATATTTATTTTATTGATTTGTGCATACAAAAGCCAAAGGCTTGGGGTATGAGGGGATTCACCAGAGAGAGACAGAGTGGGGAACAGAACAGAACTTGCAGAAGGGAGCTCAAGCGAGGCAGGAGAGGTCTACCACGCCATGAGGGTCATTCCCTGCATCTTGACTTACACCAGCTCTTGGCACTTTTGCCTTGTAGATCTGTTTCTCCACTAAACACACACACACACACACACACACGTATATATTTAATATATAATTGTATTTTACAATTGCATGGATAGAAGGAAGAAAATATCTAACAATATTGTTAATAGTTTTACTTGCAATTAATGATGGATAGAACTATTACAATTTCCCTGATTTAAGTATTTGACATTTTCTTCTGATTTAAAACAAATTATTACAATTTAAGTCATTAAAAACATTTCCCTGGGTCCCTAGAAGTATTCTGGCCCCTCGGCACTGTGCCTAACGAGTCTAGCACATGTCCTGGTGGGGACAGGAGCAGGATGGGGCAGAGGTTGTGTTGTGTCCACCCACCAGATAGAGCCCATCACCCTGCCGTCTCATCTCACTCTGGACTCAGACACTCAGCATTTCTCATCTTGCTTATTCTTCCTCGCCCTGTGAATAGGTTTTACTTAAGTTTTACAGAAGCAAACACTGAGTTTCAGAGAAGTTAAGAAACAGAGGTTAAGAAATTCTCCCAAGGTCATGTGGCTATAAAGGAACAGGCAGGATTTTAGGCCACGGCCAGTTTTCTCCAAAGCCTGAATTCTTTCTTTCTCATGGTATACTGCTCTCAGTCTCACTCCACCTCATTGGCTGGGGCACATGAAAGAGAAGGGAAGAGAAGGAGAGCAGAATTCCAGGGTGCGTTCCCAGGGAAGGAACTGGGGGAGCCGCCCTTTGTTGGGCAGGTCCAGAGCAAATAAGTAGGTTGGCAGGCTCAGGTGGCAAAGGCTCTGATGTCCCTGAGATAAGAGACTTAGCTTGAGAACAAGGGCTGCAAAGAGACCTGTGTGTATCTGGGTTAGTGAAAAAAGGGGGAGAGGAGATGAGTAAACAAAATCGATTTGAGGTTCATTTGCTGCGAGTTGGGATTTGGATGGAGCCCAGCCTCCCCCCGAGAGGGGAACCATGCCGCAGCCCTTCCAAGCCCGAGCAGGAAGAGAGCAGAATTACTCCTCCTCTCAACAGAGAAATGGGGTAGGAACAGGAGAGAGTGGGGGGAGAGCTCTGCATCACCCCCTTTTTATGACAGACTTCCTGAACTTGGTTTATTTTGTTGTGGGTTTTTGTTGTTTTTTTTTTCCCTAAGGTAGCATATGCCCCTCGGAGAATAACCTTCTAGACCTTTTCATTCATATATATACATATATATACATATGAATATATATATAGTTTTTTTAATTCACTTTATTTTTACAAACATGTAATCATATTATGCAAGCCACCCTAGCAATTTGCTTTTTTTAATCTAACCACATATCCTGTCTCAGGAATTGTAGATCCGCCACATTCTTTTTAACAACTGTATAGTGTTTCCAAAATGAACGGCCTGTAATTTGCTTAATCGTTCCCCTGCCCATGAGCACTCAGATGCGTACTGCTCTTGCAAACAGCCCTTGCAACTACAGGGCACATGCCCTCTCCATCTGCAATAAAACTTGAGAAGCAAACCCAGTGGGTAGAATGTTTAGCTACTTCCAGGGTTTGGAGATTTGGCCATGTGGGGTGCTAACAATGAGGCGACAGGTCTGAGCCCCGGGCAATGGCTGAGTGACCCTGCGCTGGTCAGGTCAGTGTGGTTTGTGGAGCTGAGTTGCCTCCCCTTTCTGGCTTCTGCGTGCTACCAACCCTGCTTCCGTCACATTCTTGGGAGGGAGATAAAAATAATGTGTGTTTTGTAAAATGTAAATACAAATAGATTGCGGTGCCGATACTTGATTTCCTTTCCTGTAGCTCCCAGTTTCTGTCGTCTGAGAGAAACTCTTGTGGAATGAAGTTCACAGCTTTGAGGTTTTTTTGTTTGTTTTTGTGTTTGATGACATTGGTTTAGTATAAGGTTAAATTTATAGAAAAGTTGCAAAATATAATAGAAAGAGCTCCATTCACTCTATAGCCAGTTTACCCTCCTCAGTATTTTTCATGACGCTGGCATACTTGTACAGATTAAGAAATGAACATAAGTGGGCCTCTCTTAGGGACTTAACCTCACGCTAGGGGGTAAGTCTCAGCACTGTCACTATAATGCACCTGAATTCTTCAAATTCTAGGCTTCCTCGAAGTTTTCTTTCTGAGCGTTCCCTTGCAAGTGTGCGCTAGCTGGCAGTTGCTAAGCCATTCACTTGTCCGGCTTCCTACCTCCCCGTAGTGACCCCGACACAGCAGTCTGGAAGCAGGGCAGAATGGGGTGGCATCGTCGCTTCCGTTGTTAGAAGCCATGTTTCTTTTAATAGCAAGTTGCCTAAAATAATGAGGTTTAAATCATTCGTGATTATACAGTGGTCATCCAAAATAAATTGGAATATGAAGGAAAACACATTTAAAAAAAAAAAACCCACACAATTATCTAAACCAAGTTCTCACTCCTGCTGCTTGCTGTTTTGGGGTGCACCCTTCCAGGGTCACCTGCTCCTTAGCAATCCTGCTGTCAGTCTCGTCCGAGACATGGCTCCCCACTCTTTGTGAGTCTTTGGTCTCCAGGGCGGACGAGCGAGGAGCCGCTTAGATTTTCATCTTGGCAATTTGCCCTCTCTCTTCAATCATCTGAAATCTCTGTTGGCTTACTAGTTGCTTCCTCTGTTTCTATATTATTATTATTATTATTAAAGATTTATTTATGTATGCACACAAAGACTGGGGTGTAGGCCAGAGGTGCAAGGGATGAGAGAATTTACCAGAGACAGAGCAGAACAGGCAGAGCTACTGATGCTACTGCTGAGGGGAGCAGCAGGCGAGGCAGGGGAGGTCTGCCCACCAGAGAGGCCTCTCTCACACTGTCTTACTGTGCATAATGTTTCTAACCACTGTTGACTGCGGATAACTGAAGCCTCAGGAAGCAAAACCATCCATTAGGAGGGAACTGCTGTATCAGACTTGATTTTTTTAAAACCTTACATATATCTTTAATTGAGATATAATTGACATAAAATAGTGTACTTGCCTTGGGTATAATTATTGGGCATTTTTTATACCTCGCTTAGGATTAAATTTTTTTTTAAGATTTATTTATTCATTCATACATATGGAGCTGGGGTACAGGCCAGAGATGCGGAGGGTGAGAGGCTTCACCAGAGACAGAGTGGGGAGCAGAACAGGCAGATCGACGAACTACACAGAGTGGGGAGGCAGCGGGCGGGTCAGGAGAGGTCTGCCACGCCATGTGGTCACCTCCGGGGCAGGCGGGGATCGAACTCATGCTGAAGTGGTTTAAGCTTCTTAGTGCTGTGCTTTAACCCGCTGCGCCACCAGGAAGGGCCCTCGGTTAAATTTTTTTTAATTCTGAGTTCTGGGATGATGTGACAGAACTGTCATTCATAAAGACCTCGGGTCCAGTCCCAGTGGAAGAACCGCTCGCTGCCCGTACCATGACCCCATCCTGGGCCTGTGGTGCCCCACTTAGTCCACACAGCAAGCCTGCATTTCTCCACCTGTCCGCAAGGATATTACCAGCAGCTTTATCACACGCCCTAGCCCACCCCACCCTTACTCTTGAGGTTCTTGCATTCTGTTTTCTTGGGAAAATTAAAGTTCTCAGAAGATAGGGCCCAATGGGTTAAGCGCAGCACTGTGAAGCTGTCCGCAGCCACTGCTGCAGCACAGGCCATCCCCGGCCAGGGAGTGACCCACAGGCACAGCAGACCTCTCCTGTCTCCTTGCTGCTCCCCTCAGCAGTGTACTTCGTCAGTCTGCCCATTGTTCCCCGCTCTGTCTCTGGTGAATTCTCTCACTCTCCTACACCTCTGGCATGTACCCCAGTCTTGTATGCAGAAATAAATCTTTAAAAAGCAAAGTTCTCAGAAGACAGCTGCCAGGTGTTCCCACCCCCTTCACCTACCTACTACCTGCCTCTGTGTCCATGGACTACCCTGACATTCCTCCTGTTAATCATAAGCCGCCTTCTCCTGCAGAGACTTCCTGTCTCTGAGTCACCCAACCCATGCACAAACGTGCTGTCCTTTCTCCTACCCCACAAGAATAAGCAAACAAAAACCTGAGCTTCCTGCCCCATCCAGCTACATCCTCATCCTCTGCCTACCGTTATTGAGAAGAATGTGCATTTCTGCCTTCATTTCCTCTTCCTCCATCTTTTCCCTCACGTCTATTGTAAGCCCGGGGCTTATACAAGCACTTCACCAAAGTTTCTCTCGCGAGGTCATTCATGTCCCCTGTGCGGTGAAATCCACTGGGTCTCTTGATCTGTTTGACTGCTCATCCTCGGTCTCCCTTGCCCTTTCTTCCCTGGATTCAGTCCTGGGTCCTCTTCATCTGCACTCACTCCCGTGGGGATCTCACCCTGTCTTGTGGCCTTAAATGTGCTGACATTCTACATCTCCAGTCCAAGCTGCTTCCAAAAGTCCAGTCCGGACATCTCCTCTTGGATGTCCAATAAGCCGTCACGTCCAAAACTGCACTCTGGACCTTCCCTTCCAATCTGTTCCTCATGCAGGTCCCCGCTCCTGGTGCCCACAGGCCTGCCCTCCCTCTGGTAGCCCAGGACCAAGCCTTTGGTGTCATCCTCAACTCCATCACATCTGGTCTTGTTAGTCTTAGCTTCAGAATTACCAGAGTCCCACCACTTCCTCTCTGGGCTCTGCCAGACCCCATCAGTGCTTGTACGCGAGCTAGAAAAACGCTTCCCCTCTGGTGGGTTCCATGGTGCCCCTGTGCTGGGGCCAGCCTGCTTCTGCTCCCCACTCCACCTCCCCACAGCACACTGTCCACACGGCATTCCAGGGTCCTTTAAGAGAAATTCCTGTTTCAATTACCTAGTGCTTACAACAGTCACGTCACCGCGGAGTGACTTAAACAATAGCTACTTACTGTTTCTGGGCATTGAGTTGTCTGGGCTCACCCTGCAGGCTCCCCTAAGCCTGCGCATGTAGCTATAGTTCTGCAGAAGATGTGTTGGGCTAGAAAGTCCAAAATGGTGTCCTTCACAGCTCTAGCTGTTGTTGCTGGCGGTTGCCAGAGTCTGGGCTGCCTCAGCTTCGCTCCCTGTGTCCTGAGTGCCTCCAGTGGGCAACATGGGCTTCCTCGTAACATGGTGGCCTCAGGGTTTCGGAAGTCTAGTCTTTTGAAAGATTGGACTGCCGGGCCTCCCTGGCACTATGAAGCTGTCTGCAGCCACTGCAGCAGCACGAGTTCCATCCCCAGCCAGGGAGCTGACCCCCAGGGCGCAGCAGACCTCTCCTGTCTCACCCGCTGCTCCCCTCGGCAGTGGATTTCAGTCCATCTGCCTGTTCTGCTCCCCACTCTGTCTCTGGTGGAGCCTCTCACCCCCACACCTCTGACTTACACCCCAGTTCTTCTATGCAAAACCTTTATGTATATAAACCACCTGTCTCCAGTCAGGGATCTAGTAAATAGCAGCTGTGATAGTTGGGATCGTTTGCAGTATTTCCCAACTAAGAACCATCCTACCTTCTAGATTATCTTTCCAGGGACTCTGAAGGTATCTGTCGTGGTCAGATTGTGGTCAGATTCCCGGGTGACCTCAGCACAGCCGACAGTGCCTCTGGTACATACATCCCAGGTGCAAAGTAAATCATCTTTACACTTCTGTACATACCGTATCCTTCTGTTCTTCGTACATTGAGTTATCAGATGTTCAAAAAAGGCAGAACTGAGAGCAACTGTATGTAACTCAAATCAGTGGTAGGAAGAGAGCGTGCAAGAGAGGGGCCCTAAGAGACTAGGGGAAGGAGTTCCTAGTGAGGGGCCGTAGTCGGATGCAGTCATGGTAGGTAAACTTCAGGGCTGCTCTTCGGTGGAGTCACAGTACAGTCTCGGAAGGGTTGTACCCCATCACTCGTGCTCTGCAGTCTGTGGGCTCTAAGGGAGTCACTGGGTCCTGCCACGCGGGAGACAGGCTTACACAGGGTTGTGAATAACAGGGGGCAGGTGGGAGCCCCCTTAGAAGCTGCCCACCACACTCCCACTGTACGAATCCAGAATCTGAGGCTCGGAGAGATGGAGTTATTCCTCAGGGTCATTAGTTACGGACTGGCTGGATGCAAACTCAGAGCCCCTTCCCCTTCGCTGAGCATACGAGCAAAGTCACTGTAAGGCATCATTTAGTAGTAGCTACTGGGAGATGCTCGCATGTTCTCTCATTCAATCTTCACAGTGGTCCTGCAAAGTTAGTTAATGACGTCGCCATCCATTACACAGTGAATGAATGAATGAAGGGGGAAATGTAGTAGCAGACCTTCACCATCACTAGAGAGAACAGTGTAGAAGGGCTTGGCCCTGTCTGGGAGGCCCTAGCAGCCATCTCTGCCTTCTCTGGCCCAGAACCAGGGCAGTATGGGTTAGCAGGCCTCTCCCATGCCTGTGCGAAGAAGCCCCTTACCATCATTGGGCCCTCTTAGCATTGCTCCCAGGCTCACCAGACCACTGCCGGTGACTGGTCTGCTTGTCTTGGGTTGAGCCCTAACTGTGTCAAGCACTGAACAGGAATCATGCTTGGGCCGCGTGCAGCCATACTGGCCTTTTGAGTGTTCTCTGCCTAGAACAGGCCCAAGTCTGTTCCTACCCCTGTTCGGCTCCCAGTGCAAATCTCACTTCCTGGGGAGATTGTTCCTGCTAGAAGACTAGATCCCTTCCCTCCGCCACATCCCTTCTCAGTGCCCAGATGCTTCCTGTGTCCTGTTCCCGGCAGTGCAGAAGTGTGAACTGTGTAACACAGGAGGGAAATCCATCTTGCTTGTTTCCATATCCCCAGTGTGCCCACGCGCAGTACCTGGCAAAGAGTAGGCCGTTCATGAGTGCTGTGGTGTCTGCATTGACAATGAATACTGAGAGGCCTCCGTGGACACTCGGCCCGGCCAGTCTGCTTTCTGCAGGCTTCCTCTGGGGTGCTCACCTCACCCTACACTACTAGCGAGGAGAGAATGGAAGAATGGAAGGGATCCTGGCTTCCATATAAACACACGGGAAACCACCAGCTTTGTAATGTTCCTACCTGGGTCCTGATTTTAGGGGTGGGACTTTCAGGTTGTGAGGAATAAACCAATTGCAGGAGGTGGTGAGGGTATCTTTTGGAAAGATTGTTCCAGGACCTTTCCAATTACAGGGCCTACTACTCTGGATACGTAGAAAGGGTTTTTAATAAAAAGCATTATTTTAAAAATAAAGAGTTTGTAAGAGCATTGAAGAAATGCATGTCTCAGAGAGAGAGAGATGCAGACAGACTTGTCATTTGCTATTGTCTGTGGAGAAGTATGAATTCCTAATGATGGCTTGTCCTTACTGAAGCTCTCCATGTCCCACAATCCTGTAAGGCAGGCACTGTTATCTCCATTTTGCAGAGGAGGAAGTCAATGCACAGAGGTTCGATAATTTTCCCAGGGTAACACAGCTAGTAAAATAGAGTTCAGATTTGAACCTCAGTCATTCAGGCTCTAGAGCACATACTTTGCATCACTATAAGGCAGACAGAAATCCACCAAAATAGCTATGTCTTTTGGTCGTGGTTTCTTTTCTTTTCCTTACCAGGTTTTTCTTTATGGGTTTGCTATAGGAGTTGCATGATGTTTCTGAAAAGGGAAGGTGAAGCGGTGAAATTTGAAGAGCAAACATGCTTTAGAGCAAAGGAATTGTTCTAATTTCCCGTTTTCCAATTTCCAGAAGAGGTGACCACTAACCTACTTCTGCAGTCCACCGTGGCCCTGTCCCCAGAAGCTGAAGCCAGCACAGCACTCATTGCAGGTAATAAAGTCTCCGAGCCAACCCAGGGAACCTCCGGGACTGACACTCGGACACAGCCTGGAGCCCGTGTGGGGAGCTAGGATTGTCTTTTACAGCAAAGCACCCAGTTTCAGAGACCAGATCCACCCGCTGCAGGCTCTGGGTTTAGCAAACCCTTCCTGTTGGGATAAGCTGTTTCCTGTTTCCTACCTTCCTGTGTCTGTCATAATGCTCAAGAGCTAGTTGAGCGGGAGTTCGGTTTTGCCAAAAGTCAAAAGCCTTTGCAGACCATGGAAGTTGGGCTGGGTGGAGACTGGAGATGCTAGTTAACTCTCACAGAAGAGGAGGATCCCTGCGAAAGGTCATGGTAATAAGCTAACGCAGTAGACCTGTGAGTAAGAGACACCCTCAATCCTAAAACATCTCATTTTCCCTCTCATTTCCAAGTTGTTATCACCGTGGTCTTCCTCACTCTGCTCTCAGTTGTGACCTTGATCTTCTTTTACCTGTACAAGAACAAAGGCAGCTACGTCACCTATGAACCTGCAGAAGGTGAGCCCAGCGCCATCCTCCAGATGGAGAGTGACTCAGCCAAGAGCAGGGAGAAGGAGGAATATTTCATCTGACTCCCAGACACTCGCTCCAGTGCTAACACATTGACTCTTTAATTTATTAGTGAAAGTTCTATCTGAAGCAAGTGAGAAGCACTGATAACAGGCAAACCTGAGCTCCCCAGGACTCAGGCCCAAATGTCCATGTCACTGAGGCCGGGGGCCCAGAGAAAGCTGCTTGTGATGTCTCCAAAACCAAGCCTTTGTAGTGCAGCTGGTGTTTGTGACTGACAAACAGGGTGGAGCTATCCCAGGCGACAGGTCTGAGTATGCGCCCAGTCACCATTGCTCTTCTCCCACTTCAACAGTCAGGGCTGGTGGCTGTTCCCGTCTCCTGTTGAATCACCTAGTGACAGCCGCAGTGGAAAATGTCCACAGCAGCTCTTCCCAGAGATCACATACCACCACAGAAGGCCATGCCAGGAGAGGTAGGGGACCTGACGAATGCACTACAGCCCTCAATCTGAGCCCTTCCTCTCTTCCCCCAAAACTTTACATTTGTTATTTTTATCACAATTAAAACATTTTCATTGATGCGGAAATCAAATGTTCCAGAGGAAACTATTACATTGATTTATCCCTGCTAAAGCTTTTTGACATTTTCCTTGGTGTGTTTAACTCCTTTGCATACGATCTCCTCCAAGCTGAAAGAACCCTAGAGAAGTTTTAGAATGTCCAAAGCTATCTCAGGTTGCTACAGAGATGACCGTGGGAAGCAGCTTGTCCCCCAGGAGGGCGGTTAGAAATAAACCTCTTGGTTTTGCCTCTGTCCTGGCAAGGGCCAGACCTGTTCCAGAGGAAACAAATTTACCTACCACCGTTTCCCACGAGCGTCCTTTGAATCAAGCCCAGAGAAGCTTCTTGGCTATAACATAAGAGTTGAAATGAGGGGTAGTTAATAGCTATGTATAGGAATCATTAGTAGCCCGATATTGTTTACTTAGAATCAAAGCTAGATGTCCTTTGAGATCCGACCTCCATTGTCCAAGTTCAAGTCCACCCGAAAGTTGAGGAATCAGCCTGAGCAACCTAAATTGCAGGGGGTTCCAGAATTTCTCCACCCAGAACTTTGGAGAAATTGAGGATCACTCCGAAACTACACAAACTGCTGTGCTGAAACATTCCCCTCAGATGTGAGGGCCAGCTGGGAGAACCATTCGCTTGTTTTATGTTCTAAATTCCCCGGCATAACGGGCATGTGAGAAACCAAAAGGCCCCAGGAAGAAAAGTGAAGAAAGCATAAAGATGGCCCATAGCCTCATACTCCTGCATGAATCTCGAAGGCTTCATTTAAAAACATGTAAGAACAACAGTAGCACCTACTCGCGGAGATCGAGAGGAAAGCTAAACACAAGCTGAGTAAAGAATCCTTGAAGTGAGGTGTAATGCAACTTCATCACTTTATTCAAATCTTCAAAATAGTCTTTATTCTACATTTTTAGTATAAAAAATCCACAAGTTAAGTGCACCACAGTGTAGAGAGAGACATACAACGCTTAACTTCCATAACAGTCAATGGTACAGTCAAACATCACATGTACAGAACACAAAATTTAGATGAACTGAAATTATAAGATAAAATAAAATAAAATCCAATTTCAGAAAACAAAAAAATATTAAGGATCCCTGAAATACTCTTAACCCTAAGGAGATTTCATTGGACTCAAGTCATCTCATGTGAGGCATTCTCACCAGGACCCCATGGAGCTGCCCGTGTGGGAATTCCTGGGAGCCATGAGGGGCTGGATCAGACTCTGTGACAGAAACACTAACAGATTTTTGATCTGAAAACTCCCCTAATTTGGCTCGTAACTCATCAGGCTTTTGAAATGTATCCTCCTCCCTGCACCTCGTGTGTTAACAAAACGTTAGAGTAGTTTGCATTGCCATCTTTTGTTCAAACAAAGCTCAGTTTTCCTGGCACCAAAGCAAATTTGGGTTTGGTTCATGTATGAAAAGACAGCCTGTGAAGAGGGTCCAAAGGGTACCCTCCACTTTTGCCTGAGGAGGTACAAAAGCGGGAGTAAGGGGGTCTGTGCTTGGGACACAGAAGGGCTTTCAGAGGATCCTTGTGAAGACTAGTTAAAAGATGACAAGTGGGGGAAGTGCAAGGAGGGAAGGAAATCAGTCTGACTGGCTTTCTGTCCTGCACCAGTGATCAATGGAGACTGGAGGGAGGGCGTGGAAGACTAGGGTTGAGGGTAGGATGCGAGAAAAGGATGGAAGGAAGAGGCAGACAACTGATGCATTTCATTTTGAACAAGTAATGTGAATCAAAGACTTAAAGGAAATTAAAGACCAATCAGGAGAATTTGGCAACTTTAATTCTTAGGAAGATCAAAGTTTCCTCCCAACCTAATTTGATGTTTTATTACTAAAAGCAAAGACCAGTATGGTACAGTATTACTCCAGAGGAATTAAAGGAAGATCCATAGGGCTGCTTCACCCACATTCATTTTATGAATGGATACCTCCCCTACCTCAAAATGCTTTAGGGAGGTACTGCTACCATTACTTGGTTCCTTATTAAGTTTGAAAAGTGCCTGAAAGTTTGGGCACCAGAAAGACACCCCAACAACATGTGTCTAAACTGCAACTTCAGGTTAATATGACTAAAGCAGTTACATTGTGAGAAGTGCTGAAGGTATGTGATGTCTTTCCCGGCACAGAAGCGGCCTCGGCTCTTCACCAGATGGTGTAGCCACCATCCGAGCCACCCACGAAGAAGTTTCCCTTCCGCTGAGTTAGAAGGACATTGGCTCCTCCCTGCATGAGTGTAAGCTGCTGAGCAGCATTAGGAGGGCATCCAGGGGGTGGAGGCTGAAAGAAAACGAGAAGTTGGTTGGGCACAGGGAAGTGGACACAGGTGAAACAGAGGCCCTGGCAGGGAGGTGGTGATGCGCCAGCCAAAAGCATCCTAGGGAGCTAGTGCTGCTACCAACTCGAGTTCTAAAGTAGTTCTATGTTTTTTGTGAACCCAAAAAATAGCCAGGAAAGAGGCCTACCACTCACTCGAAGGGGCCCAGTTCTGGGGTGAAGCCCATGTGAACAGGAGCAATTCCAGAGAAGAGGAAGTAACTCCTACCCCCACTCCAAAAACGGGGATCAGGTGCCAGCTCCGTGACCCTATACCACAGGGTCCCACAGTGGTGTTCAAATGACTGATCGTGACTGTAGGTGACCTGAAAGCTCTCCCAAGTGACACCCTGTCCCCAACATATGGTTACTGAGTAAATGACCCTAGCAAGGATGATTCCCACGCATAAGGGAATTAAGCAGGAAATAAACTAAAATGTCTAGTATTTTTTCTATAAAAGCTACTTCTAAAAATCCTAATAGAGTACTATGCTAACAGCAAATATTAAGTAAATGCTAATGGAACAAACAGAGTATGAGAAGACCAGCTCACTACCATAGTGAACTATAAAGGCAGCAGCCAGCTAACCCAGACCCCTGTCAGGGAATTGTTCTGCCTTCTCAACCACTCTCTGTCTGTCTGTCTCCTTGATGACAAACTACTGTTTGCCACTGGCTATACCAATACTAGCTACATCCAGGGATAGTTATGTAGATAATATGTAGTCCTTTCAGAAAATTAAAAGTTACAAGGGGAGAATTTTTCCTGATAAGCCCATACTCACAGGAATGTTGCCAGCAGTTGCCCCAGCTCCAAATCTGGCACCTGCATCATACCCTCCTTCCACCAGCACTGCTGAACCAGGTGGGTATATGGGGCCAACTGGATAATAAGCCATGGGGATTGTGGAACCTAACGGTCCAACAGCCAAAGACTGGGCCATGGGAAGATACAGTGAGGCGCCAGGAAATGCAGCTGACATGGTGGGGACTGTGGCCGCCCCTGGGTGCACAAAGCTCGGACGGTAGAGCTAGAAGGGGCAGAACAGAAGGCAAAATGTTACTTGATGGCATTTCCATTTCAGATCCCTGTAACGAGTCAATTCCCAATTCTTGTGCAGGCACATGAGACACATAACCGGGTGATACAAGTTGCCTTTCCACTGCATTCAGGATTCTCCTGGGTCATTTCCTTGAGCTAATGTGAGGCTCAAGGCACGAATCTCCTTCCTCTCAGCATGGGCCAAATACATTTTAGAGAGTTATTCTCAACACCTACGAAGTGTTTTTAGGTTATTTCCATGAACATACTCTGGTTTGTGAAGAATCAGATTCAGCTAAGGAGAGAAAATGTGACCTGAGAAAATTCTCAAATGGACAAGCACCTCTGAGTAGGCAGGTGGAGCATCAGTGTAAGGTGGCGCCTGAGGAAGATGCAGTGTCTGCGGGTACACAGGATTCCCAGGAGGCTGCACGGGGTAAGTTGGTTGTGTTGGATATTGACCTGAAAAACAGGGGAAAAAAAGAATGTGTGTTGCCCATCACACCAGTATGGGGCAGGCATATTCCTAACCTACCAGGAACAAGTAGAAGGGGAGCTGCAAACAGACTAACCTGGAGAGTCCCACTTCAGAAGTCAAGAAAAGAAGCCTTCTCTATGTACCCTCCCAACAGATGGTAATGGATTCCAACTGGAAGGAAAGTGATCTCCCGCTAGCATCTCGGTCTAACTGGAAGAGTCTAGTTGGGCAGGTCTGAGCTCCGGTTCTTGCCTGCTGAGTGCCATCTCTCCGCCCTGGATAGTCTGGCTGTTAACTGACCAAGACCTCAAGAGGAACGGCGGTTATTTACCTGACAAATCCTACCCAAGGTCAACTTCCAATTTGAAGCCAGTCAACGGTGGGAGTGAACCCCGACAGCCGAGAGGCTGCAGGAGCTACGGGAAAGATCAGGTTCTGCCAGACACACTATTAACCATCACAGGAGCCAGAAGTTCTGGCCTCCAGGGAAGAAAGCAGCTGAGACCCTCCAGGCCCTGGGCCGGCCCCGCGGCGGCGGCGCCCCGCTCGAGAAGAGCCAGGCTGGCGGCGGCTCCGGAGCCTGGCGCCCCGCCTCCCCCCGTTCTCCATTGGCCTACCCTAATACCTGCTCCAGCTCCCCATTTGTTCCTGCAGATGGCCGTCATGACAAGCCCCCGCCGCCACCCTCCTCCTCCCCCCCGCCCGCAGAGCCGCAGATCGAAACTGCGCCACAGAGTTTAAGGGGGAAAGGGCCCCGCGGGGGCGAGCGGCTGTAGTTGGAGGGTGACGAAGGCGTCTGGCGCAGCCCCCCGGGCTGCAGCCGGCCGGAGAGCGCGGCGCAGCTCGCCTCAAACTTGACACCTGGCGAGCTGGGCCCCGGGCTCGCTCGCTCCGGGCCAGCACTACCGTCCCCGACGGCCTCAGCCGCCCCCTGTCCTTGCCTTTGCTGTTCATGGTGGCTGCGGGTCCGGTTCAGCTCGGTGTCGCGGACGGTTATTTTTTTCGTCCTCTTCCTGTTCGTAGTCACTTCCGTGTCACGTGACGGCTCGCCCGCCCAGCAGCGCGCGGCGTCCTGGTGCCGCAGCCCCCGGAAGCCCCGCCTCCTCGCCCGGCCGCCAGTAGCCAGAAGGCGGCCCGCGTGGCCCCGCCCACCGGCGTTGCCACGCCCACCGGCCCGGTCCTCCCACCCCCACCCCGTCCCCGCGACGGGAAGAAAACAAATGCCGG